GGGGGTGTCACAGGGAGCTGCACAGCTTCTTTGTCCTGTGACATGTTGTGTGCTCAGCACCAGCTGCTGGGAATGGGGCCCTCCAGTCTCTTCAGCCTGATTCATTCCCTGGAAGTACAAGGCCGGTCAGGTGGCCATGCTGCAGCATGAACACTGTTTTTGTGCTTGTTCTGGCTGTGTTAGACCCAGCAAGACAGCTGAACCTGTCTGTGGTTACACAGACCAGATTTATTCTGAAAATCATAGTTCTGGAATACCAAAAGCCTTCAAAAGACACTGCACAATCTGTTCTTTTTTTCCACAAAGCACAAAACTAGTGAATCTCCTGTAAGTGAGCACTACAGTGGTGGGGAGCTAATTGTATTGTGTATTACATTCCTGAATTTTTAAAATAATAATTAAAAAAAAAAAAAAAACAACTATGGAACACTGATTTTAAGGAAAAAATAAGTTTGTATTTCAGTGTCTAGATTGTTTATGCTTCTGATTAAATGTCAGAGATGTGCCAAACACCGCTGGTTGAAATATTTTCTGTTTAGTACGTCTCCTCCCGAAACACACTGTTTGGAATTATCACTTAGGCCATACCTGTGCTGAGATGCAGGGGTGATGCAGATCCTCGGGGGCTGGCCACAGTATTGCTTTGCACAGTCTACTTTAGCGGAGCAAATTGCTTGTGTGGAGCTCCTCATAATAATATAGCTGCTTGCTTTCGGCATCCTCTGTAGGCTTTTGGTAGTATCCTTTATTGCTGCCCTGTGGAATTCAGTATAGACACACATAGTTATGTAAAAAGCAAAACTAGCTCCAACTTGTGACTCCTTGAAAGTCATGGCAAGGGTTCGGTCCTGCAAATTTCTGTGTTCAAGAATAGTTTCATCGGGCTGACGAGTAGCTACTTGCATGCAAGGAATTACTTGCAGCAGTGAGCCCAGAGCTCCTGCCAGTGCAGCCCGCCTCCTGAAGAACTGCAAGTACCCACTTTTTTGGGCTGTTTTAGAATTGGTAGCATTGTGGTGATTCTCAATGTACTGCAGAAATGAATTTGTTGCAATTTCCAGAGCTTATCCCAGGGCTTATTTATTTTTTCCACTCTCCAAAAAGAAAGAAAAACCTGACGAGTGTCCTCAGGCTTGCTAACAAATATAGCTGAACTGATGTTGTTTTGTGCTTCTGAAATGGGGCTGCCTGAGTTTATTAAACACCGACTGGTGGAGTTTGAGGCAGAGGGATAAAGATTCCTGCCATTCCCCTGCCCCTGCCCCCTGCTCTGCCTGCACTCCCTAATCTCATCAGCTATGGAGAGAGTGGGGGACGGAGGGGCTGGATGTTCTGAGTTCCACACAGAAGGAATGGGGTATACTGCTAACTATTTTTAAAAGCATATAAACATGCTCTGCCTATTTTAGTTCCATAGCATGGCATCAGCTACTCCCTTTTTGGATATGTATGTAAGTTGTTTAGCTCTGTATTAATTTTGGCTTTTTCTCTGCTAGACGGAAAGAGGCGGATGCTCCATGTGCCCGAGCTAAAGGCAGTCTTGACAATTTTCCAAATCAAATGTAGCTTTGCTGATAACAGGCGGTCTGATTATCCCTTGTAACCTTTGCTCTATGTGGTTAACTGCCTCTGAAGTACAGTGGCATATTTTAGCAGGCTCCTGTCTGTATTTTTCTTGCATTCACAATGTTATCCAAATAGTTGAAGAGCAAAACCGCAATACTGAAAAAATAGGTTTTAACTATGCCTCCAAAAAGCACATTGGATTCATTTGTCTTTTTTTTTTTTCTTTTCTTTTTTTTTCCTGTGTCCTGGATCTTGTTTTTTTGAGCAGTGCTAGAATATAATTGGCATAGCCAGATTTCATTGCTGAAATTTCTTTTGGGCTTCTTTTAAAATAAATGCAAATTATTATTATTATTATTTTTAATATGAAGTATTAAAGTCTTGAGAGAATAAATGGAGCTTTTGAATGTCAAGAACTGTTAGTTGGGATTTCTTTCTTAGGCCAGTCTCTTAGAAGACATCTGACAAGCAGAAAGGCACTTTCACAGCTGCTGAGAATCTTGGGAACAAGTACAAAGTGCACGAGTGGAGCAGGAGTTAATAAGTGGGCTGTAAAGTGATGCCCTCCAACTCCACTGCCAGGAGCAATTAAAAGAATAGCTGCTGATGCCACGTGGAGAATTAATTGCGTGTATGCAAAATGCACTTTTTTAGCCTTCGAAAAGAATTACAAAAAAAATGCTGACCTATTAGCTGCCAGTGGTTAAATATCTAGTGTTTAGGTCAGTAAGGTAGGGTTGCTAATAGATGTCTATCTCGCTTAATTTGATTTCCAAGACTTTGCAACATAGCTGCCCTAGAATGGAAGGTGCTTTGTTGTTTTTCAGCTTCATTTCTTCCAATCTGGAAGCACTGCAGCTTCTCAAATGTATTGAAAGAAAAATACTGGCTGCACAAGATGCAGCTGCCAGCAATAATATGGAGGGGGCAGGATCGCAATTAAGACCTGCCTGGAGCTGTTCATGGGCTTGCAGTGATGCATTTGTTTTGGAGCTTGTAGTTCAACTCTGAAGCTCTTCTTTGCTTCAAGAGGGAGAAGTGGTTCTGTTGTTAGTTATGCACACAGAAAGATGTGTTTGGTTGTCCTGTAAGTACAGCAGTTGAGTACGAATTCAACCATTTCCCAAAGCTATTTCTACCTCATCATGAAATGCAATTTGTCCTTGGTAGGAACATC